CACTGAGGCCGCACAGCCCAGACAGCCAGGCGCCCCCTGGGCTGCATCCCCAGCGGCGTGGCCAGCAGGGCCAGGGAGGGGATGCTGCCCCTCTGCTCCGCTCTCCTGACCCCTGGAGCGTCCAGCTGTGGGGTCCCCAGCACCAGACAGCGGTTTTAAACTGAACGAGGGTGAGGTTGGGCTGGACACAAGGAAATGTTGTACCATGAGGGTGGTGAGGCCCTGGCCCAGGTTGTCCAGAGAAGCTGTGAATGCCCCAACCCTGGATGTGTTCAAGGCCAGGTTGGATGGGGCTTTGAAACCCTTGATTGAAATGAGAAATGATCGAAATTTTAAACAAGATTGAGAAAGAGTAAGCAGGGAAGAGCTGTGGCCTCTGGTATGTGATTATTTGGGTTTGTCGAAACAAAAATTGGCCACCAAGAGCAGGGGGGGATGTCGCAGTGCCGAGGGACAGCTCAATTCAAGGTCACAGAATGCAAATCAGCAATTGAGGGAAAAACACCAGGCACGGATGTCAGCAGATAGCAGGGCTGTCCATGGGCTCTGAACACCCAGGGCAGAGACCTTGGGGTGGGTATCAGCAGCGCTGAGATCTCCACTGGGATGCTGAGGTAACTGGAAGGGAGAGGGGCCACAAGTGACACAGCCAGGCATTGCTGCCTCTCCCCAAAACTGGAAATCCTGAAGGGAGATAGCCCTGTTCCTGGGGGAGCGGAAGGGGATGGTACAGACATGGCCCCCAACCCGCCAATGGCCTGGGCTGTAGTGGGAGAAATGGTGATGTTCCTCAGCTTTGGCCATGGTGAGGACAGCACAGAGAGGTGGCTGGATGTCGGTGTGACCCAGTGCAGCCATTCTGCTGTGGTTCGTGGTTTCATAGACTCAGAATGGTTTGGGTTGGAAGGGACCTTTGAAGATCATCCAGTCCAACCCCTCTGCCATGGGTGAGGACACCTTACACTAAATCAGGTTGCCCAAGTTTTGGGTCCTCTCTACTCATCAGGTCCAGGGTTTATGGAAGAAAGCCTCCAGCAGTCAATTTTTGCCAGAGGTAGGAGGCTGGTGATGGTCTTCTCAGGACCTGCCGTGGGTTCGGTGGCAGCACACATCACTGTCCCCTCTGGCGCAGCACAGTGGCCCAGTGTCACCATTCTGGAGCCAGGCGAGGGGTTGGAGCTTCTCATGATGAATTGCGGTGTCTGGGTTGGCCAAGAACCACTCTTAAGCATTCCCTGCCCCTTGCAGGCTGAAGGATCTCTTCTACCGCTCCAGCAACCTGCAGTACTTCAAGCGGTTGATCCAGATCCCACAGCTGCCAGAGGTGAGGCCCTACAGTCCCCGGTCCCCATGGGTGGGGACAGTGGCACTGGGAGATGTGTGTCTAGAAAGGATCACGAGCTGCCTTGCCTGGTTGGTGGCAACATGGGCTTGTGGAGCCTGAGGCTTATCCCTGCATCTCTTCCTCGGTGGGATCTGCGGGGGCCCACAGCCCTTGCCAGGATCCATCCCTGTGGGTCCTGGCTCTGTTCCTATGGGTCCGGGCACGCCCCCCTCAGCGCCAGGGCAGGATTTCGACCAACCATCCCCAAAGCCCTGTGGCAGTGCTGGTCCCCCCCACCCAGCCGTGCTCCCCTCCCTCCCCAGAACCCTCCCAATTTCCTGCGCGCCTCGGCACTGTCGGAGCACATCAGCCCCGTGGTGGTCATCCCTGCTGAGGCGTCCTCACCCGACAGTGAGCCCATCACGGACCTGGTGGAGATGGACACGGCTTCACAGGTGAGCTACCATGGCACTGCTGGTGCCCCTCAGGCTGCAGAGAGGACACTGGGTGCTCTTAGGCTCTGAGAGCAGGGTTGTGTCTCCAAAACCATGCTATGGTGGAGGCTGAGACAGCGGGGATGGCCTCAGGCACTGGGAGGGGCAGTGTGGGTGCTGGGTGTTGCCTGTGGGTGCTGCAAGTCTAAGCCAGGCTGAATTAATCTTAACCGTGCTTCTCTCAGTGGTTTGGTGCCCTCCAGTACTGGCTGGCTGGCTGGATGTGTTTGGCTTCCCAGCACCCTCAGCTCTCTGTCCTTGCATTAGGTCTTCACTCACCTCTCTGCCCAGGGTTGTCCTCAGGTGCTGAGCATTTTGGGAGGGGAAGTAGTGTGTGGTGATGTGGCTTTGGGGGTCTTCTTCCCCTGGGAGTTAGGTGGGGTCAGACCAGAAATGCTCAATGTTCAATATGTTCAATGCTTTCGGTGCCCTGGGAGCAACAGGGGGGTCCAGCCCCAGTGTTCAGGCAGCAGGAGCAGGCAGCAGCCTTGCCCGTGGGCTGGTTCAGTGGTGCCGCCGGGGACGTGGATGGGATGGGGGCTCCCGGGTGGTGGTGGTTCACGCCAGGTCCCTGCTGCTCTCCCCACAGAGCCTGTTTGACAATAAGTTCGACGACATCTTCGGCAGCTCCTTCAGCAGTGACCCCTTCAACTTCAACAGCCAGAATGGGATGAACAAGGATGACAAGTGAGCAGCCCCGAGGGTGCCACCGAGGCAGCCAGGATCAGACTGGGAGCTGCCTTCCTGGCACAGCACCACAGCTGTGGTGGCACAAGGAACACCTCCCGTCCCAGAATGCGTCCCCATGGCACCAGTGTGGCTGGTGGCACTGGGGATGTACCTGGTGTCTTTCCTTCCCAGGGACCGGTTAATTGAGCAGCTTTATGGGGAGATCGCAGCCCTGAAGGAAGAGCTGGAGAACTTCAAGGCCGAGGTGGGTGGCAGCCATCCGGTGGTGCCACGCAATGAGCACCCACGTGGCGGTGCTGGGGCAAGACGAGACCTGGCAGCTCGCACTGGGAGTGGAGCTGGTGGGGTGGTGGCTGTGTCCCTGGGTGGGCAATGCGGTGGCCCTGTGACAGCTTCTGCATCCATGCCAGCCATCCCTGTCCATGTGGGGGGTGCCCGAGTGTGCTGAGGGGGCTGCATCCCTGCCAGGGGGAGCCAGCCTCACCCCCACAGCCCAGCATCCTCAATGTTTCACCGTGCTGCATGTGGGGCTCTGTGGGATGCTACCCATGGGGTGGATACTGGACAGTACCGGCGGGCATTGAACAGTGCCAGCAGCCCCCGAACTGC